AAAGTCCATCAAGAGTTTGCAGATGTTGAGCAGAACTACCTCTGCTGCCATTAGAAATGTTGAAGCCTTTGATTTTATTTTTCTCTCTCCGGGGATTTTTGACCACCTTAACTTTTCTCCTTTTTTCTGCTTTCTCACGCCTGCAGTTTTTCCTTCCTTTGTCTTTCCTTCTGAGAGAGGAGAGAGAAAAATGTTCAAAATACAGGTTTTCTCTTTTGAGGAAAACCACAGCTGAGAAATTAGTCAAGAGGTCCATGGCCTTTTCCTCTGTCAGTCTCTTGACATCTGTGTCAATCCAGGTAAATTATTAACTCTTCCTGCACCTTTCTTCCCCTCCTGCCCTGAGTTGACCTTTCCTATCCCCATGCCAGGGCCAGGAGCAGGAATGCTCTCATGCTGTGCTTTTCTCCTGAGTGTTTTCTGACAAATCTTTTGTTTCATACAAGTCATCCTCTGAGTTATAAATAGGAAACGGCATCCAGTGGGGTTCACCTTCAGTGGTGCCAAGCATCCCCCYGAATCCATGATCACCTGTGGGTGCTCAGCAGCTTCTCAGATCAATTAGCAAGGCATGAGCCAGACAGAGCACTCTATCATGTTAATTAGTTCTTATTTAAATTGGTGGAGGGGTGGTGCCACAAGATGTTCCCAATTGTCCCCAAATGTCAGCCTGGCTTGGATAAGGGGAGAAAACAAAACTTGATGGGCCCACCAAAAGCAAGCCTGGAGTTGTATGGGAGGTGCTGGAGTCTCCACAACCAGAAGTTTATAAAAGATGAAGGAAAAAAAGTGGTCCAGGTCAGGTAGAGCTGCTTTTGGAGGAGATGGTCACACCTTCCTAAGGTCCCTTCCCATTCTGTCTCCTGGGGACTGGTGAAGCTATTGGAGATGAAAGGTCTGCCAGTTGATGTCAGTGCCTGTGCTGCCTCCTCAGGTATCCCTGGGGATCTGAGAGGAGTGCCTTGCTCAGTGCTGGGGCTTTGTCCTCCTAAAACCCCTGATTTCGGGGAATAAATGCACAAAATTGCTCCTAGGTGAGAGGCTGGGGTGGGGCAGGGGCACATTTCTGCCTGTATTAGGAGTTCTGCCGTGTCCCTGTGCTGGGGGTTGGGAATGCCCATCTCTCAGCTGGAGATGCTSTTGGAGAGGCAGCAGGAATTGGAAGAATTCAAAGTGCCTGGTCCAGGAGCTCGGTCAATATTTATGGAAAGGGTCAGCTGCACTGAGGGAATTTTTGCAAGCACTCCAAAGCTGATGGATGACTTCACCTGGTGCTGGTGGGAAGGCACCTCCTGGTCATGCCTTGACCACATGCTCTCCAGACAGCTCCTCCTTGGGATTGTTTTGCTTACAAGTTACCATAAGTCCTATTTGCCCTGACAGTCTCTCCAGTAATTATGTTTTATTGCCTGTGAAATGACAGGCCCAGATCTCTTAACACTGAGGAACACCTCAGAAGAGCTGAGAAGGGTCTGAGATCCTTCCTAGGTCAGACAGGTGCATCTCCCATGGAACACAGGTTTTCATTTATTCTGAGTCCTGGCACAAGGATGGGGTGATAAAGGGAAGGTGTAAATGTCCATCAGGGTTGGGAAGCTGTAAAATGTACATTTTAAAATCTCCAAACCCAAGGAGTTAAAAACTGCAGCTCTCCAGGATTTTTTAGCACAATAGGTTTAACAAGAGCAGCAAAGTCTTCTCCTGACAAATTGCACAGGTTTCATGCCTGGCAAACACAGTGACTTATTAAATCAGGTTAAATTTTACTAAGAATGTTGGAGCCCTTCTTAACAAGTTAATCCCTCTCCCACAGTCACTCTTTAGCCTATGTCTGCTCCAGCACATCTTTTGGGTCTCCTTAACAGTGGTGTCTTTTGGGAGGTTTTGGGAAGAGTTCAAGATATTGCACATATCTAGCTCAGTTTAAGCAGAAACAGAAGTGTCCTGCCAGTGCTCGCCACTGGGATTATCCTCTTTGTGCTGGGAATGGTGAAGTAAACAGGACAACAGCCTGCTTGGGGAGGGGTTTGGTTTTGTTTTTAAGCAGGAAAATGCCTTTTGGACTTGGACGTGAACCAAAAGCTTTTTTTTTTCTTTTTTTTTTTAAGGTCAAAATCCAAGAAGTGGAGGGAAAATACTTTTCCAGCAGCAGCTGCTTGCAGCCTTCACTCACTCCATGGATGGCCTCATGCTGCAGCTCTGCAGGAAGCAGCAGGAGACAGCAGCCAGTTTTGGGGCAGCCTCCCCTCCCTGTGCAGCAAAGAAAAGTCARTTAAATCCTCTGGACAGTGAGGGGAGGCAGTGATAATGCAGGAGAGAGGAAAATGAGCAGACCCCACACCCTGTCAGGTCCTGAGCTTGTGTGGCAGCAGCAGATCCTTGGTGCTGAGTTCCCTGCTTCGCTTGGAGACCAGCTTGACAAGAAACTCCACTTTTGTTTTTCTTTTTCTTTTCCTGCTTCTTTCTCACCCTGGCACCCGCCAAAAGCCTCTGACACAAACCTAGAAAACAGCAAAGTGGGCTGTGCTCAGACTTGTTTGTACAGAGGTTTGCCCCTCCYTGGCCTAAAGCTGTATTTTAAACAGAAATTGTAAAGCTGGTGCCAGAGTTTTGCAAGGAAGGTGAGTTTCCCATCTGATTAAGATGAAATGGGTATATTAAATTTCTTCTTCCTTCTACTTTAAGGATAAAAAGTCTGTTGCAGAGCCCAGTTTGTGCTACAGTGCTGGAGAGCTCTGCCTCTCAATGGGATAAAGCACATGAGAATCCCATTCCTGGTTCTCATCCTCACCCAGTTCTGGTTATTTACTGGTCCTGGCTCTTCCTGTGATCCCCCAGCACTGATGCACCCCTGGCATYTAATGGGGTTTGTGCCCCAGCACGTGAGGACAGGGACAAGCTGAGCTGTTTGGTGTCCCAGGCTGGGTAGAGGGAAGGTGGTAAAACTGTTTCTCAAACCTTGTACCCTCACTTGGGGAAAGCCCATTTTTCCCAGCAGTTTCTCTGTGTAGGATCCCACCTGTTGGGGTGACAGTRCATCCTCCCCACCAAAAACAGGGATCTCTGTGGCTCTGGCTGCCCCTGGCTTTGCAACAGCAGAAATTCAGGGGGACTGGCCCAGGGGTACCAAGGGATGCTCTGCTTGAACACCAGGCCATGGAATCCTTTCCCAGTCTTGAGACCAACCTAAAACCCACTGATATGTCACCTCTTCTGTTCTCTACTCCACTCTGGATGCTCAGTCCCTGAAGAGAAGTGTCTTGGGTGTGCCACAGTGCATCCCCTGCCATGCCAGCAGCAGAAGTGAGTAAAGCAACAAGAATTTTTCTGTGTTTTCCTGACAAGGGCCTTTCAGTATCCTGGGTACGTGTTGCATCCTTAGAGTAATTGCCTTCCTGCTATCTTGTGTCCATCTCCATTCCCACTTTGTTCTGCACACCTGGCCCAGACCTTTGCCAGGGGTGTTTGTAGAGTGGAACACCACAGCCCTGAGGCAGATTGCTGAGGCTTTGGAGATGTCTCTACCCTATATTTGTGTATATCACTCACTGCATGTAGTTCTGCACCTCTGAACTGGATTCCTCAGCAGAATCAGAGCCAGCCTTACTGGCAGCAGCTGCAGCAAAGGTATCTGGTCCCATTTCTCTACCAGCAGCTCATCTTTGCCAAAAACAAGTTGTTATTTCAGAAAGCTTCCTTGAAATGCCCTCCTGAAAGCACCAACACCACCCCTGGAATGCTGCCACAGTAACCCTCTAAATGCAAGTCACTTGAACGCCTGCTGAGAAACTGAAAAATAGCATATAAAGAAGCATGTAAAGAACAAAATATTTGTTTTAGTGGGTTCTTTTTTTTGCTGAGTGCTGGCAAGCATCTTTGCAGGTGCAAGGTTTTGTGCATCATTTTTTGCATCTGGAGAAGGGTCCAGTGCGAGGGAGAGCTGGGAGACAGAGTTTGTGCAAATCCCAACTGCACCAAAGATATGCAGGGCTTGTTGCCCTTTTGCCTTACTAAACCTGTCCCCTTGGCCTCTGCAAATCAAAACCCAGGGCCAGAGCAGACATCTCTGTTGGTTATTTTATTTACCAATCTCTGTTTTGCAGATCTTGGATGGGTTTTTCTCCCACCCCACTGTGGACTTGCTGGTTATTCAAACTGCTGCAAGAGCTGGTATCAAACCCGAGGCCATTGCCCTGGGAGTGCCTTTACCAGTGACAAGGTGAGGCCTTGATGGGGCTGGCAGCTTTGGTTGTGTCCCCTGCACTCACTCTGCAGAGCCCAGTGAGTTTTGCTGTCACCCCCATGGCACAATCAGCTTTGTCTTTTTTCTAAACACCAGTTTTCCCAGTCCTCCATCAACTGTCTCTCCATGGCTTCTATACTCCCCATGCTGAGCTGTATTCATTTGCAGGGATTTCATACTTTCTCACCAGTCACCCCTGACTACATTGAATAGCAAAGCCCATCCAAAGCCACCCTTATCCCTTTCATTTCCATGATCGTTTACTCCTGGATGGATTTTTTGTCTTGCACTGATATTTCAGCTCCCCTTTCTTTGTGCCCAGGACCCCAGTACTTTGGTTTTTGTGGCTCTTTCACACTCCCAGTTCCCATGGGCAGATTTCAGGAGCAGTGACCACTAAGATCTCTTTCCTAGAAGGTGCCTGGGTGCAGAGTCCTGACAAAACCCTGCTGTCTGCAGCCTCAGCCCCCTTTTGGAAAGCAGCCATGGGTCAGGTGAAAACATCCCACAGCTGGAGCCACCTCCTCACCCACGGATCCTCCTGGCACCACCGCGGGAGCACTGTGCCACCCCTGGAGGTGGGTGTGGAGCACTGTGCCACCCCTTCAGGGGTCATCAGCCAGGCTGTCCAGCTCCAGGACAGCTGCAGGCTCCAGCCACTCCTCCCACTGCAAGCCCTGGTTGTGTAATCACCCTGGGAGTGGGGTGGCTGCCTGCCCTCCCTGTCCTTGCCAAAGCTCCACGTCTCTCCTATAAATCCGGAGTGAGAGGGGCTCTCTCCTCGCGGCAGAGGGGAGACACAGCCCAAGTGGCCGAGACTGGGAGGTAAGTGTTCCCAGGGGGCTGAGAWGCTTTTCCTTCCCTCCCTGCCCCATGGCTTGGCACTTCTGAGGTTGGCTGTTGTGGATACTTGCAGGGACGGTGTGGAAATGTGGCACAGACAATGTTTCCTGCGTGTTATTTGCAGTTTTTCTGCAAGAGGGTGGGGAATCAAACAGCCCATGGAGCCAGGAGGTGATTGTGATATAAGTTAGCTTCCACCRTGCAGAAAATGTCTTCCCCAAAACAGTTAACAGTGAGTAGCTCATGCTGGTGCTGTCTTCATTGACAAAGGAAAAAAGTCTAGGTTTTATTCCAACCAGGAAAAGCAGATTATTAATTAGGTGTTGCCTTATGATGGAAAGTTGAAATAGTCTGGAGAATTTGGTGGGTTTTAGAAAATACTGTGTCCAGCCCTATTTTTTTACTGAAGGTTTTCTTTTCTTTTTCCTGACGAATCCTCTGTTKCTGGTGGAAGCTGTACCGCCTGTAGTGCCATCCTGTAATGCTGAATTAATAACTCAGTTGAGCAGGGTGCTCTCTCCAGCACTGGGGTTGAACTCCAGACTGCAGCAGCACCCCCAGGGCACCTGGGTGGGGGTTCCTGATCTGGCAATGTCCAGCCCAAGCCATGGAGCCTGTCCATCATCCCTTGTTTTATTGCCTGGCACCATCGAGGATTAGGATCCATCATTCCCCCTGCCACCCTGGAAGCTTTGCTGCTCTTTCAAGCCCCAGGGTGGAGTTGATTTCAGCCCCACAACAGCCACAAAAGCATCCYCAATCCGAGGTGTGCCACACCTGTAGCCCCTCCATCAGCCTCAGTAGCCATGTCAAAGTGAGCATCATCTTCCCTGGGGATGGGATCCTGTCAGAGATGCAGAGACTGAATAGTCCCAGTGCATTTTTTAATTTATTTTTTTTTTCTGCGAGAGGCAGGGGCAGACAGCCAAAGATAAAATACAAATATTTGCAAGTCTGATAAGGCAAGGATAACTTAAACACAGCTTGTAAATAAAAACTGGCAGTGGATGGTGGCTCAACTACATACTTTCAAAGCCWGTTTCCAGGGCAGCTGCAAGAGTTTGGMAGCAGCCCAGAGAGYGCACTGTGATAGTGGATAGATTTWAAAAATAAAGGGSRAAAAAAAKAAGAAAATCTAACTTGTCAATGAAGAGTCCAGAATGCTGGTAAGGGGAATGAAAAGTGGAGGTAGCATATAGAGAAATCCCCTACAGAGGGCATGCCAGGAGCAACATCTGTGGGGTTTCTGCCCCACAGGTCAAGCCCCGTTACCATCTCGGGATCCCGGCAGAGACCGCAGGGATGAAAGTGGCTGTGGTGGGCGCGGGGGTCAGCGGGCTGGCAGCCACCAAGTGCTGCCTGGACGAGGGGCTGGAGCCCACGTGCTTCGAGCAGAGCCAGGACATCGGGGGAGTCTGGCGCTACACGGTGAGCCAGCACTGCCCGTCCTCCTGCCCTCGGGAGCCACAGCTTTGGGATGGGGAGCGGGTCAGGCTCCAGCGGGTGTGGAAGGGCTGGAGAGCTTGCTGGGTGCTGAGCTGTCCCARCTGCGCTCCCTGAGAGCAGGGGAGCCTGGGGACAGTCCCCACCCCAGGCACGGGGCTGATGCACCCGGGGTGCCATGGCAGGAGCACATCGAGGCCGGCCGGCCGAGCCTCTACCCGTCAGTGATCAGCAACACCTCCAAGGAGATGTCGGCCTTCTCAGACTTCCCTTTCCCTGAGGATTTCCCAGTGTTCCTGCCCAATGCCAAGTTCCTGGAATACCTCCGGCGCTACGCTGAGCACTTCAGCCTCCGGGAGCACATCAGATTTGGGGTGAGCSATGGGTGCCCTGCACTGCCCTGCTCCCCACCCGTGGTGGGTGCCGGCGGTGACTTTGCTTCACTTCCATGTTTCAGACCACCGTGGTCAGCATCCGTCAGCAGCCCGACTTYGCCAGCACGGGCCGGTGGAATGTGGTCACAGAGGCGGATGGGAAGCAGAAAACAGAAGTCTTTGATGCCGTTATGGTTTGCAGCGGCAATTTCTCCGAGCCGTCCCTCCCCCTGCACTCTTTTYCTGGTACAGTATAGGGCTGCCTGTGGTTACCTGCTTCCAGGGGTGGGGAGAGAAGATTTAGGGGTTCCTCAGGGAAAACTCTTCCTTCCTTTTGTGGCTTCTGCTTTCCTAACCTTCTGGCATGAACAGCAATACATTCTTGTGCTTCAGCGGCTTTAGCTATGAGACCCCATTTTGGAGAGGAAGCATCAATTCTTTGTGCATGGGATGGAGGGCTGGATCTTCCCATCTTCACTGGTGGCCAGTGATTGCACTTTCTTCATTGGTTTCTTACACCAGATCTACCAACAAAACCCATAAATGTTCCTGTACTTAGAAGCTCTGTTCCCTTTTCCCCGAGGCATCGAGAGGTTCCGAGGGCAGTACTTCCACAGCCGGCAGTACAAGCATCCCGCCGTGTTCCAGGGCAAGCATGTCCTCGTGGTGGGCATGGGAAACTCTGGAGTGGACATCGCAGTGGAGGCCAGTCGTGTAGCCACAAAGGTGCCACCACCCCAGGGGTGTGGGGAAGGGGACACTGGGGACAACAATATACTGTCACCTCAGGGACATGGTGTACAAACCACCTTTCTGAACCCAAATTTCTTGGTTAAAAATCCACCTTGAACTCAAGCTTGTTTTCTCATCATCTCCTGCTCCACCTCCATCACCAGCAGCCAGGAGATCTTAAAGATGCTGGTGCTGCTTTTCCATCGCACAGCCATCTGCCCCGTGCCCCTGGGAGTTACTTAATGAAAGAAAATCAGCAAATTCATCACCTGGACCATTGATTCTTGTCTTCCAGGTGACCATCAGCACCACTCGAGGAGCCTGGCTGATCGGTCGTGTGTTTGAGCATGGCTATCCGTGGGATATGGTTTTAAACACTCGTCTCATGAGCCTGATCAAAACCAACCTCCCCAGACCCCTTTCATGGTGGTTGATTAATCACAAGGTGAACCAGTGGTTCAACCATGAGAACTACGGCATTCAGCCAGAGAACAGGTACTTCTTGGTGGCTCCCATTTCATGCTGATGGGCTTGTGGTGTGGGGAGGGGGAGATGTTCAGCAACATCAAGCATATTTGAATCATCAGATTGTACCCAGAGTGGTGTGATCTCCAACAGGGAGTTGTAGCCCAGCAGGAGAAGATAAGTTCCAGCCTCCTGTGGTGAGAGATGCTGGAAAAGCATGGGAAAGCCCAGAGGAATTTTCCTCATGAGGGTCCCKGGGAAAAGAGGAGAGGGAAGGCTTAAATAATGCATCAGTTTTGAAAAGAAATGGTTTAAAGAGTAATTGAGTGGATGGAAGAAGAAGGCAGGAGATGTCTGTGAATCACACTGGGGCAGTGTTTGGAGGTGGGTGACAGGRCTGGTAGCTCAGAGAAAATCACACTGCCAGGTCTGAGCTCCCCCTGGGAGCAGGGGCACCAGCAGGGTTTGTCCACTCATTCTCAGCACCCYGGCTCTCCACAGCTGCCTGGTGCGTGAGCCCGTGCTGAGCGACGACCTTCCAAGCTACATCCTGACAGGCAGGATCACCATCAAGCCGGGCGTGAAGGAATTTAAGGACAACTCCGYTGTTTTCCACAACTGCCCCGAGGAGGAGCCCATTGACATCGTTGTCTTCTGCACAGGCTACAACGTCTCCTTCCCATTCCTAGAGGAATCAGTGGTCAGGGTGGAAAACAAGCACGCATCCCTCTACAAATACGTGTTCCCAACACACCTGCAGAAGCCCACCCTGGCTGTCATCGGGCTGATTAAGCCCTTTGGAGGCATCGTGCCCGTGGCAGAGATGCAGGCACGCTGGGTGAGCCGTGTCTTCAAAGGTAGGGGAGCAAACATGAGCCCTCCCGTGTCCCCAAATGCAGCTCAGGCTGGACACATGTTGTCCCTCCCCAAAGAGGGATCCCTGGAGAGCCCAGAGCTAAGAAGTTCACTTCAGAGTGGACAAGGGAGCATTTTCAGGGCTCAGACTTTCCAAGTTATTTCACTTCAGCTAAGCTACAGCAATATGAGTGAGGAAAGAAACCTACTGCTGTTCTGTTTGGGTTTTTAATAAAAAATTAATAATAACCTCATGGAGGGCTGRATCAGGACTACTCCATGGAAAGAGAGAAAGCTCTGGGGTTTCTCTTTGGGATGATCCTCTCAGGAGTTTGCACAGCCCATCTGACCCCACATCACTTGCCTRTGCCCTGACAGCACAAATGTGTAAGAGCAGGAAAAGGTGTGGGTGAATTTGGAACACTGTGCAGGGCTGGTTTCTGGCAGGATTTCCACTGCTGAACAAATTGCAAGCAATGAGACTTTCCTTCCCTCCCAGGGAAGAGATTCCCACATTTTGCATCACTGAATGAGTTCACAGTTCCCCCCCAGGAGTTAAACTCGGCAGGACGCTCTCCTCTCTCTTCCAGGCTTGTGTCAGTTGCCTTCCCAGTCTGTCATGGAGAAGGAAGTAAATGAGAACAAGAAAAACCAAGTCCGATGGTAAGTCATTCCCCCAGAGCCCCAAAGGTTTTTTGGTGGATTGAAAAAATCCCTGGAGTTTTAGGGGCAGCAACACACAGGCTCACACTCTGTGCCCTTTCCCTGCATCTATGGCAAAGGAGAGGGGAGAATTCCAGATCAGACATCCCTCTGCTCACTTGCATCGAGCCAGTGTAACCTTTGATTGGACACTGATATTTTTCCTGTTGGTGGCAGGAAGAAATGAATTCAGGGTATTCAAGATTAAAGCTTGCTTGGGAGTTGGGGAAGAGCACCGGAATCCCCAGAGACTGCCTGATAAAATGGCAGAGAAATTAATGGTAATAAATGCAAAACAATTCATCTGGGGAGGAAAAAAAAAGCCAACCCACAGCCAATGAGGTGTAGACACAAATTGTYTCATTTCTCAGCATGGAGACCTGATTCAGGGGTCTGAACACACTGGTGTGTGGTTCACAGGCAGCCAAAAGGCTAAGAAGTTTAGGGAATGAGTGAGACAATCCCARGAAACTGGATGATATATTAATCCATTGTTCACTTAAACAGCTATGGGAAAAAAGGTACAAAAGAGTGAAATACAGAATTGTATAGAACAACTGCTGTACAATACAAGGCTAAATGTACATGGGCTTTTTCAGCCCACAAGGTAGGGCATGAAGCTGTGGATTCTGCAGAGAAGGTGAACTGGAAGCAATTCCCCAACTCACTGTGTATTCTTGCCATATTTGTGGAAATGAACATGAGGGATACTAAAGAGTGCCTTTCTTACGCTGCACCTGACTCCTTTGCAAAAGCAAAGGGATTAGGGTTTGGGTTTTTTGTTTTGAAAAGAAAAACAAAACTGTTTTGCCAAAGTCTGTTAACAAATATTCACAAAGGTGAAGGGGGACACAGGTGCAACTTGTGAATGAGTAAATGAAAGACTGATTGAGATGAGCCAGCATCACTTTACAGGATTTGTGTCCTACAGACCCAGGTCCCCACTGCATGTGCATCCAATCCTTTCCCAAAAAGAACTCAATTGCATTCCAGATGAAATAACGAGGATGCAGAGGATCTGCACTCCAGCTCCTCTCAGCCCTGCTGACACCAGTCTTCCTCCTGCCTCTTTTCCTTCTCTGATTCATCCAGGTTTGGTCTGACCTTTGACGAGGTTCTCAAAACCGAGTGGCTGGTTTACCTSGACACGCTCGCCTCCTTCATCGGGGCCAAGCCCAGCGTGCTGGGGCTGCTYTGCACAGACCCTTGGCTGGCTCTCACCATCTTCTTTGGCCCCTGCTCCCCCTACCAGTACCGACTGGGGGGTCCTGGGCRCTGGGAGGGGGCACGGCAGGCCATCCTCACCCAGTGGGACCGGGTCCTGAAGCCCACGAGAACACGAGTGCCTGCTGGCTCCTCCAGCTCTTTCCCTTCTCTCCTGGCTGTGGTGGGGTTCCTCCTGCTCCTGGCTGCTGTGATTTTTGGTTTCCAGTAGCTTTTAGAGCCTGATTTTTGTTGTTTGTTTTCCTTTTTGTTTGGTTTTTTTTATCCTGGGGTGTGTTATCTCTGGTCAGACAGCTCCTCAGTGTGCCACTGGACTGGGGAAATGGATTTCACTAGATGGCAAGAAATTTTGTATTGCAACCTGCCACACAAACCTCACTCTGCTCCAGCTCAACCCCAAACACATCTTTGCAAACCCCATTAACCAAAAATCCCAATGAAAAGGCACTGGTTGTGGTGGTTTGTGTCACGCCTGAGTCTGGGGCAGGTACCTTGAGGGGCTGAGCACTTCTGACTTTGCTTCCTGCATGTCCCATCACTGGACAATCCTGTGGCTTTGTTTTATGCATGGAGAAACCTTAAATGAATAAAATCTCAGTGACTGTGACAGGAATGTGCTGCAGGTGCCTCTCTGTCCTCTCCTTGTGTGCACGGGAAGAGCTGGGGGGGAGGGCCCATGTCTGACTTGGGGCTGTGCCACCAATTTGTTGGGCAACTCCCAAGGCTGGGGCTGCAAGRACTTTGATTGACCCCCCAAAATTAGGCTGCACTGTACTCCATGTCCCCCATCCATGCCGTCTGCTGGCAAAAGGAACATGTTTTGCCCATTTCCTGGGGATGCCAAGTGAACACSTGCCCAGCACAGGCACCACAAAAGGGGATCGATCAGGACAGGCTGCCTGGGCCACAGCAATGACGAGCTGCAGCTTGGGAGTCCTTGCAGAGGATTACCATCTGAATTTTCACCTGGCACTGCCACAGGGAGGCTGAGAACCTCCTTGCAGTGCATTTAAGCACACAGGGCGGGGGAATGCAGGTGTAAAGGTCAGTGGTGCAAGAGCCGTGGCGAGCTGCCTGGACTTCAGCCTTCCCTTCCAATCCACGGCRAGAGAAACTCCGGGGAAATTCAGCTGAGCAGCGAAGGCACAGCACTGTCCTGAAAGGTTTGCCCCTCGCTTCTCTTGGTTTTTGCAGGRTTGGAAAGCAGGCAGACAGCTCTCCAGGGTTTTGGGATTCACTGCTGGCTTTGCCTCACTGYTGGTGGGGGGAGAGGGGTGTTGCGGGGATCCTCTGGAAAAAAACCGTCCACGGGCAGTGCTGGAAAAGTTGGGTGGCTTGAGAACCCTGAGTTTGYCTACTCTTTCCCAAAGCCAAAGGAGGCTTCAGAAACGGGGCAGGCAACTGTGGGCATGTCCTGCCCTGTTCCTGCAGCTCAGGGAGTGGCTCGGGCTAAGCAGCTGTTGTGTGCCGAAGGGTTTTTTTTGCACCTCCCTCATTTTTCCCTGGCTTTCTTCATTTCCTCCAGTTCCTATTTATGTCAACTTACTTTTTGACACAAAAAAKTAGGGGAAAAAAGATAGAAAAAAATAGATAGAAAAAAGCTATAAATKACTCTTTCTGCAGACTCTGTAGTAGGAGTGTTTGTTATCTAATCAAAGGTAACATGGGTTCATTTTTTTCCTAGTTTCTTTGCTTTCCAGTCAAGCTCACTGCAGCTCAGTTTACACAGCCCAGCTTTGAGTTCCTCCCATTTATACCCAGCGTTTCCTGGGTTTCTTACCTTTTGTATATCCTGTAATCCCAGCCATGCTTTCACAGAGCTGTCTAATTTCTCAATGGCTGTGCCGTGCTCCTGCTCAGTCAAGCATTGCTTTGCTTTTTTCCTTTCTTTTAAAACCCTTTTTGCTTTCGAGAGATTGCTCTTTAATGGGAAATTAAAAAGGAAAGCGTGAAAACGAGCCAGCTTAGCTGAAATYGGTTCTTGCAAAGGTTTCAGGAGGATCACTTTGTCCAGGCAGAGGCAGATAAATTCACCTTCTTTCTGTGCCCTGGTTTGGGCTGGAAAAGGGAATAAATTTGAAGCAGCGGAATGGTGAGGTTTAAAAGTTCCTCCTTTCCCCCATGGAGGATGGGGATGGAGGATGGGGATGGAGGATGGGGATGGAGGATGGGGGTTACTGGACCCCCACTGTAGGCTTAGCACAGCGGGAAGGGTAATGAGCAGGATCTGCCCACAGCACTTGAATCAGGAGCTGGTTTTCCATCCAAGGACAGTTTTCCATCATGGACATCTGCAGCCAGAGAAGAGCAGGGCTGTTTTGCTGGGGATGGGAAGCAGGSCCTGGCGTTTCTGATGCCCACACTGTTTTGCTCCCAGCTGCTGTCACCTGCTGCAGGCCACCATGGTCCGGCGTGTGGCCGTGATCGGGGCCGGGGCCGGGGGTTTGGCCTCCATCAAGTGCTGTCTGGATGAGGGGCTGGAGCCCACGTGCTTCGAGAGCAGCGAGGACATCGGCGGCGTCTGGCGCTACACGGTCAGTGCCTTCTGTGTTTGTCCCCGTTTGTCCCCTCCCTTGGATGATGCTCTTTGGCTGCAGCAGAGAGGAAAGGGTGGCCATGCCCTCTGTCCTGAATGAGTGTGCCTGRGATGGCCCAAAAAAGGCCCAGGTGATGTTTTCAAGGACCAGGCTTCACAAGTGTTTCTCAAATCACACTGCAGCCTGGAAARGAGTGGGGGCAGGGGGATGCACCAYCACAATAATCCACTCATGGAGCTCCTCCTGACTCCAAGATGGAGAAGGAAATGGAGGGAGCAGACAAGATTGTCACCAGGTGCTAGTCCTGGTTTATTCCTTGCACCAAAATATGAGGAAGAAAAATACTCCCATACTTTCTGGGGAGAAAGTCCTTCCCCGCACACCTGGAAACACCACTGGCTTCACACAGGACTCCAAGGACGACAGGAGAATCAGAGTGTACCGCTCAGTCATCACCAACACCTCCAAGGAGATGTCCTGCTTCAGCGATTTCCCCTTCCCGGAKGATTTTCCCAATTACCTGCCCCATGGCCTTGTCCTGGAGTACTTCAGGATGTATGCCCAGCACTTTGATCTCCTGCGGCACATCCGCTTCAGGGTGAGCAGGGACCCCATCCCCACGGGGAGAAGAGCCATCAATAGCTGCAGGTTCCAGGTGGGATGGGACAATGACTCTTGCTTCATGAACAAGGCCTCTATACCCCATACTTTAAATAAGGCTGCTTGAATATGGGCTTACCCTAATGCCATCCCCAGGGGAAGGTGCAGGGTGGGATTTACCAGATTCAGAGGGGACACGCACCTCCTCAGGGACACAGTGATCACTTCCCCAGGGACCCAGCCCGCTCCTGGCAGCCTCAGCCTTTCACAGGGGCATCTCTGAAACATGGCATGATCCCTGACTGTTGCTTTGTTGGGCTTTGGTGCAAGACAACAGTTCTCAGCGTGAGAAAGTGCCCAGATTTCACCACCACGGGCCAGTGGGAAGTGGTCACCGAGACTGACGGTGCCTGTGAGCTCCTCATCTTTGATGCTGTCATGGTTTGCACTGGCCATTACCAGGAGCCCTACTTGCCACTGGCTTCTTTCCCAGGTAAGCCCTGTCCCAGCAGTGGGGTGTGCTAGGGTTGCCCCATAGGGTTTCCCCCAGCACCTATGGGTCCCTTGGCTGCATTTTCCTCTGCAAGCCTGCCTGCTCCATGAAATCCCCACGCTGGAGCAGGCAGGACCCCCACTCTWTGGAAATGGCGGGGGGAATTCCTGGCAATGGGAAAAACACCTTGCAAAAAAGACACATCCAGGCTTTTGCACAAAGATGTGCAACGTAAGACTGAGCCAAGGCGTCCACAGGCTTCCCAGCTGCCAGCAGAGGTGGGAGGGGAGAGTTGGGGGCTGCAGAGGGTCTGGGCACAAGGATGGGGCAAGTGAATGTATCTGGCAGTGGGAGATGCTCCATTCTCTGCCTAGGCATTGACAGTCGCTTCCARGGCCAGCGCCTCCACAGCTGGGAATACCGAGATGTGGAGGCTTTCCGAGGAAAGCGCGTCCTCCTGGTCGGCATCGGCAACACCGGCGGGGACCTCGCCGTGGAGCTGAGCCATGTGGCCACCAAGGTACAGCTCCATGGTGGTCCAAGCAGGGACCACGATAGCCAAGGGCTAGGGGGAGCGCAGGAAGCTTTGCCCCCAGACTTTTAAATAAATTCCACTTCCAACTGAGGGCAATTGAAGAAGCTTTGCATCTCCTGGAGTCTGGGCCACCTGAGGACTGGCAATTGAGCAGCTGTGGGGGCTTTATAGAAGGCACCATGAGCTGTTTGGTTCATCTGGATGCCATCTCCTTCCCTCAGGATAACCCTGCTGGCTCTTGTGTGCAGGAGATGGGATTTGCCATTCAGGGAAAAACCAACAGGCTGAGAGAGCTGCCTTCCCCCCCAGGTGTTCCTCAGCACCAGGAGCAACACGTGGGTSATGAGCCGGGTGTCGGACCATGGCTTCCCCTTTGACATGGTCAACACCAACCGCCTCAACCACTTCCTGGAGTGGCTTCTCCCATCAGCCCTCACAAGGAGGATCAAGTTTCGGAAGTTCAATTCATGGTTCAACCACACAAACTATGGCTTGGCTTCCAGCAAAAGGTGTTTTTCTCTGATTGTTTTGTYGGGTGGTCAGAGGGTCTTTATAATACGAAATGCTTTACTTTCAGTTTTGGGGAAATTTGGAATAGCAAACCATGGGAGGGAAGCTCTGACTACAAAAGTAATTTTGGGTCCCTCCCAGATGCTAACACTGCTGCCCCCTTTTCCCCCCTGCAAGCTCCAAATTTAAGATGATTATCAATGAAGAGCTGCCGTTCTGCCTCCTCTCTGGGACTGTGGTGTTGAAGCCAAATGTGAAGGAGTTCACTGAAAGCTCTGCAATTTTTGAAGACGGGACAACCGAAGAAAACATTGACGTGGTGCTGTTTGCCACGGGCTACAACTTTTCATTTCCCTTCCTCGAAGAGTCCGTTCGCAGCGCCATCGACGATAACCGTTCCCTCTACAAATGTGTCTTCCCTCCCCAGYTGGAAAAGCCCACGCTGGCCATCATTGGCTTGATCCAGCTGACAGGCTCAATTATGGTGGGATCAGAAATGCAGGCTCGCTGGGTGACGGGGGTCTTTGCAGGTAAGGAGATGGGGGAGATCTTCTGGGGTGGGACATTCAGGACAGCCTGAGCTGCTGCCCACAGAGCCAAGGCCATATTTCAGCTCTGTTGTGACCTTAGGAATCAGCAGCATGGCAGCCCTGTATCCCTGCTGCTCCACCACCTCGGTAAAGGTGCTGGGAATTTGGAATGGGGGTGAACATTTCATCTTAAGGTGCTGCTGGAGGTTTCTCTGTTCTCAGGCTGGAACAAGCTGCCTCCCCCCAGCAGGATGATGGCTGAAGTTTCRAAGAGGAAGCCGCCAGTCAAAAGGTGTGTGATGCCCCTGCACTCRGGATGAGCTGGGTGCTGTGTGCCAGGATGGCCTCAGGGAAGAGAGGCTCAATGGCAACCGTGGGAGGGACACCTGCCTAGGGACCCCCAGCTCTGCATTTATCACCCCACACCTGTAGAGAGGTGGGAAATGCTGTCGTGGCTCCTTTATGGAGCAAGACACCCTAAGCTGCTCTGGAGCAGTTTATGACAAGACCCAGCACCTGCAGCTCCCTTTGTCTCCCATCCCATCTCCTTTTATCCCTCCCTTTCTCTCTCCTTCTCTGGAGAGGCCCCTCTGCCAGGCCTCCAAGCCTTGTCCTTGTTCCCAGCACGTCAAGATGGAGGTTTGGTTTCCTCCAGACTAAGGGTGCCATCTCGTGGCTTCTCCTTCCCAAATCCAGGTAGTGGAGACAGCTGGGTTCAGGGCCAAGAACCCCTCGTGGAGCCAGGCAGKGTGGGTGGGGGACAGTTGGTGTCAAATTTTGGCAGGTCAAGGTGAGTGTTCCACAAGGATGTTGTGTGTGGGGGAGAGCTGACAGCCTGCCTTRCTGGCAATGGGATTTCACAGCAGTGGAGATATGTCCATGAGGATATGGGGTGGGGTGATGAGGTTGTGATGCCTCACAAGAGCAAGGAAGGGACCTCTCGGCACAGGCTGGATTAGGTCTGCCAGCAGGACAGGGCAGGCTCTTGGGACACTGGTGAAAAGCTGGGACAAAACAGAGCCACGGGGATTATCACCAGGACAAAAATATGGAAGCTTGAGGTGCAAGGGACACAGACTTGAGGCTGTCTCAAATTCCCTGAAGCAGATTCAGTACGTCCTCTCTTCTGAGAGGGAGATAAGGCTTCAAGCAGAAAAATCCTGGAGGTCCCGCCCAGCATGGGAAGCTTTCTGCATCTCTTAGATTTTCCCAGTTCCTTTGGCATTCTTATCTCTGAAAGTTTATGTCTCTATTTCTCAAAATCAGCCAAATCCACACCCCTGAACTTCAGGGAAGGACATAGCAGGGGTATTTGTGGCATTATGATGGTACTGKTAAGTTAGAGCTGATTTTGAAACCACAGTTATGCTGCAGAGACAAAACAAGATTCTGCCCTGCCCTGGGACCAATGCCACGGAGCTCTTTCACTGACTTTAGCTTTATTTGAGGCTGAGAGCTCTGCCTCAGAGCCTGGGGCTCATCTGATGTCTGAGCCTGAGGTTTTTGCTTTCCATGGAGCTGGGAACTGAGACATTATGATGCTATTTGAGTTTTATTTCTTATGTCCCATTGAAGGAACCCGTCTGAGAGGGAGAACCTGAAGATGAGTTTTATCAGCTACATGGATGAAATCGCTGCCTGTGCTGGTGTAAAGCCCAGCGTGTTGAGGCTGCTSCTGACAGACCCCCAGCTGGCCCTGGCCATCTCTTTGGGGCCCTGCTCGCCCTACCAGTACCGGCTGACGGGACGGGGCAAGTGGAGCGGGGCCAGAGCTGCCATCCTGAGCCAGTGGCAGCGCGCGCTGAAGCCCTTGAGGACTCGAGTGGTGGATGACAATTCCAGCAGCTCACATGGCTGGCGCTGGATGTGCCTCCTGGYTCTGCCAGCAGCTCTCACAGCAGGTTTTCTCCTTTCTAAACACCCCCAGCCAGGCTGGAGCCYCTGGGCAGGTCCCCAGCTGTAGAARAAACATGGGGAGCCCCARTGCCAGGTGAGCTGGGGACTGCAAAGCTGTGCCACTGCCAGGTGCTGTCAGAGGGCTGGAGCTGTCTGGTGTCCATCCACCTCCTGCTGCTGTTTCACCAAGGCTGATACGGAGTGTTCACCCCAAACTGGTGAGAATGAGGCCAGCCTTCCTCCCCGCTGCTCAGCCAGAGTTTCCTCTCTAAAATTTTGGCAACACCCACACCACCACTCTGAGATTTTGCAAAACATGTCGAGAGCTATTTATGTGTATGGTAAATTTTGGGACATGAAGGARGGAGCCACAAATAAACCTCACAGATTTGATCTTTGCTGATGGCTTTATTAATGGTTTATTATCAGAGTGCGTGAAGTGGACCCAATGAATTGTGGCAGAGGGGAGAGCCTTGTCCATATATGTATAGAGGGTGTATATATGCATACATACATATATATATACACAAATTTATATATTCTGTTGATTATATATATGTAAGAAATGTATGTTAATATRTAGATATAGAATAATAAATTATACGTAGAGTGCCAAATCCAAGCAAGCCAACAAGCATCCCTGCCCTTGCCCGAGCAGCCTTAGGYTTACCGGGACCCCTGAATCCCACCRATTCAGAGYCTCTCCACCCACCCTTGTCTGCCTTCATCGGGGGATTTCGCTGCAAACCCGGGGAACGGGCACTGCTGCTGGGCTGCAGCCGATTCCCTGAGGGAGAGTGTCCCCCCACAGCCGTCTGTCCCCATCCCACCGAGGGGCTGTGGGGCCGGGGATGGGGACCCAGAAGGGGATGGAGACAGGGACGGCCATGGGGACGTGAATCCAAACGGGAACCGGGATAGGGGCCGGGATAGGGGCAGCATAGGAACCGGGATGGGGCCGGGATAGGGGCAGCACAGGAACCGGGATAGGAACCGGGATGGGGTCGGGACGGAGCCGGGATAGGGGTTAGGATAGGAACCGGGATGGGGCCGGGATAGGAGCAGAATAAGAACCGGGATGGGGCCAGGATAGGGACAGCACAGGAACCGGGATGGGGCCGGGTCCGCGCCCCCTCGCCCTCCGCCACTAGAGGGCGCACGTGTCTCCCGGGCGCCCGCCCGAGTGCGGCACGGTGTGGTCACGTGAYCGGCGGCGCGGGGGCGGGGCCGGCGGCGCGCGCTGTACGCGGTGACGTCAGACGTCGTTGGCGCCCGGCTTGGCCGCCCGCCATCTTGGCCCCTGTGTGGAAGCGGCCGAGGCGGCGGCGCCGGGAGAGGCAGCGGCCCCGCCGGCACCGGGACTCGCGGGCAGCCGAGCGCCGCGCTGCGCGCCCGGTAAGCGGCGGGGCTCCTCCGCTGCGCCGC